CCCGCCCTGCCGTTACCGGTGGTGGCGGAGGTCCAGGAGCTCGAGGGGACGCTGCAGCAGGGGCGCCGAGGCCGGGCAGAGGGCGCCGTGCTGGGCCGCGTCTGCTCTGCCTTCCGCGGCGGGCGCGCTGCTCTCAGCCCACGAGCCACTCGCCACCCTCTGCTGCTGCAGCAGGTAGCCCCGCTGCGGGGAGAGAGAGGGCGGCACGGATCCCGCCAGGGCCCGGTTGATGGCGTCCAGCCTTCTGCTGGCGTGGCCCTCTGCGGGGGAAACATGGCCCCTAGCTGGTACTCAGGGAGCCCTGCGCACCTTCCCAGCCGCCGCGGGCCCAGAAGCGGCACCCCGGCTTCCCCCCAGCGGCCCCGCCCCGCGCGCACGCGTGCGCGGCCAGCTGCCCCTTAGCCGGCTCTTCCCTGCCCTTCCAGTCCGGCGGGCCGGCGGGGTCGGGGAGTGGCTCCCTGCCCGCTGGTTCCCACCCTGCCAGAAGCACCTGTCTCCTGGGCAGCATCCCAGCCCCGAGCTGCTGCTAGGCCAAGGCTGCCGGGACTTACGGCCAGGGAGCCTGACTCTGGCGCTGGGAAAGTAGCGCCTGCCAGGCTTCTTCACTGACAGTGAACAGGAGCCGAAGGCCGCCGGGTCTTCTATCCAGTTGACGTTCTTGGGCGGGAGGTGGCACCGAGGATGAGGTGGCAGTGGCCCTAAGATCCTGGGGATCAGCGCGTGGGGCCGCACCGGGTGCAGGAAATGAGGGCCCTGCTTTTTGGCGGTCCCTCTCAGGAGGACCAGTGGAACCAGGTTCACCGATTGCAGTTCTTGACGGCCCAGCCGGTCCTGGTGAAATCTAGCCTAGACAAGAAGAGAAGCCCCTTAGCACCTTCCTGTGGGTCAGGGCTTGGCGGTGGCAGCGGCAGGGGCTGGCGAAGCGCCTCGAGCCGCAGCCATGAGCCCAACTCCTCTCCGCGGCCGGCAAGTCTGCTGCCCGCCCGGGGCCTGGTGATGCCGCTGCGCTCTTGTTGGCCCAGGGCTTCACCTCTTCACCTACCTCCTGCGAAGGCCACAGCACTGGCCGTCCAGGGGAGGCTCACACGAGCCACGCAGCCGCCTGGCGCTCGTGGGCCATGCACGTGGGGCTGGCGCAGGGCAGGCGCACAGAGAACACGGCTCTTGTTTGGAGGGGTGGGAGTGACCTGCCCTGGGGCCGGCACTAGCGCAGGGGGAGCAGGTGCAGAGGGGCCGCAGAGTCCCCACCGGCGACCCCCCACCAGTGTGCCCTGGCTCCGGGCCGTCTGGCACTACCCCCCGCCCAAGGCTGCAAGCTGGCCAGGGACCTCACCCGAAACTCAGGAAGCCTTTTCTGGCCACGGTGGCTGGGGTGCAGCATGCGGGTGAGCTGCTCCACGATGCCCAGGCTTCGGATGAGGTTCTCCCGCTGGAGCAGGGCCTTCATCCGCTCCAGCTCCTCCTCCTCCACGATCTCCTGGGGCTGCGTGGTGTCCAGGGGCGCCGGCGGCAGCTGGAGGGCGCACAGGGTGAGCGGCCGGCTGCCTCGCCCTCCGTTCTCCCACCTCTGCTTCCAAGGTCAGCTCTAGTTACCAGGGGGTCCTCTCCCGCCCACAGAGCCAGCGGGCCTCCCCTTCTCTGCAGCAGTCCCAGCCCTCTGGGCAGGAGGCCTGAGCCGCCCCGCACCTCCTTTTCGGGGCCCCGGCTGCGGCTCCGGTAGGCCCCGTGGGTGGCGAGGCTGCGTGGCCAGGCTCTGAGGCCGCTCTTCTCCCCGGCCGACTCGCCCTGGCTCTGGTCCCTGTGTTCCCGCCGCCGCTTGCAGCCCGAGCGCCGCTGCTGTTCCTGCTTGAGGCGGATCTCCTCCAGCTGCTGCCTGACAGGACGCTGGGCTCAGACCGCGGGGAGGGGCGCGGGCCCACGGGGTGCCAGGCACCCACCCACCCTCCCACGTGGACAGAGGGGAGGGCACCTGGCGCACTCCTCCCTGGCCTTGGACGCTGCAGTCTCCTGGAAGAGGGAGCCGTTGTGCTTGAAGAAGGGCGCGTACTTCTCCGCGTCTGACCTGGGGTAGATGCGCCGGTAGCCCCCCAGGTGGGCATCCTCGTAGCGCTCCTGGTCCAGCATGGCAGCGCGCGACGACTCCATCTGCTCCCGCCTGTGGAAACCAAGCCCGCGAGGACCCGGAATGTTCAGGAAGGAGCCAGGCTTCCCCGCTCGCCCCGCCCCCGCCCTCCAGGCTCAGAAACGCCCGTGGGGGTCACGCCAGGCCTGCTGGTAGCGCAGTCTGTCAAGGCGGCGCCCACACCGAGCCCCGCAAGGCTTCCACACCCAGGCACGGCTCGCCCCAGTGCACAGTCCAGCCTTGGGGGTGTCGGGCGCAGACAGTTGCCCTCGCCTCCACTCTCACATGGAGGAGTCGCCTGAAACCTCCACCTCATCGTTACCTGTAGGCACGCCCAGTGAGCCAGCCACAGGGGCGCCTGCCCCCTCCGGGCAGACCGGTGGGCAGCGCTGCATGGGCCATCGCCTGCAGACCGTGGCACCCCTGCTCCCCCGCTTCCTCAGGGCAGGGTCTAGGGGAGCTCTGCTAAAGAAAGTGAGCCAGCTAGGCCACCCTGTGAAACGCGCGCTGAGGTGCGTGCTCGGGCCGGGCACAGGGCAGGAGCCGGCCCTGCAGGCCGGGAGAGGCGGGGGCAGGCGGGCGGGGCGCGCCCACATCATGTGAAACACATGAGCCTGGGAAGTGCAAAAGAGGAGAGGCTGACCAGCCTGTGGCTTTCTCGAGGGCAGTGGGCCCGCTTCACGTGCCAGGGACGGAGCCCCGAGCTGGGCCTCGACGGCTCCGCTCAGAACTGGGGAGCAGCAGCCGCTTATCTGGGGGAGGGCTGGGAGCCAGGTTAAAGGGTCTGTCGGGGTTTAGGAGGAATGATAGGTGTCTCCAGGAATTGCCTTCCACCCTTTTTGGCCCTGACCACACCGTCCTGCCACCAGCGGGCGGGGTGACGTGAGTGTGGGTGCGGACAGCCTGGTTTCAGAGGCCGGTCAGGCCCAGGCTGCCTCCCTGTCCTGGGCAGCTCTCCCGCTCAGGAACGTAATGACAGCACGTCGGGCACGGCACCTGGCTTCGCGCGGCTGCTGGTGGCAGTGGAAAAGCCGCTCCTTGACCCGCCGCTTGTCCTCCTCCAGCACCTTCCTCTTGTCGCAGCCCCGGAGGTTGATGAGTGTCATGGCATCACAGAGAAGCGCGTCCTTCACTTCCCGGTCCAGGCTGGAGTCGGTGGTGAAGCTTGGAGAGTGATTTACCTGCAGGAGGAGCCATTACCGCCCACCGAGCCGAGGCAGGCGTCCGCCACCTCCCCACGCCGGCGGCCTGACTCCCGGCCTCGTGCTCGGCCAGCGAGACCCCCCAGCGCACAGGCCGCCATGTCAGCAAGTCGGACACCCGGCTGCGGGGCGGGGGTCCCCGCGGGGAGGCCTGCGGGAGCAACACCTGGGGTCCAGAGCCCGGATTCCCGGGTGGGGCCCAGAGCCATGAGACTTCAGCAGGTCCGAAGTGTGGGGCCTTCTCCGCCCGCGGGCCCCATAGTGCCGCGAGCCCACGCCATGCTTCCCGGAGGCCTGGGCTTGGCGAGGCCGGGAGCGCCTCACCTCCAGCAGCCAGGGCTTCATCTTGTGGTCCAGCAAGATGTCGAAGCCCAGGATCTCAAAACAGGCGCATATGCCTCCGCTCAGATACTGGGGGAAGCAGGTTCGGTAGTTGTGGCGAAGGACAGAGTGGGCGGAGATGACGGTTTTGATGATGATGTCCTCGATGTTCCGCCACAGCTCCCGCGCGTCGTAGCTGCGCTCTCCCAGCCAGGCGTTGAGCGTCGACAGCTTCCTGCGAGGCCCGGTGCTCAGAGGGATGGCAGGCCCCGGGTCGCGGGGTGGGGCCCACCGGGGCTCCCTCGCCGCCCCACTTCCCGCCTCGTCCCCGTGCTGGGAACGGAAGTGGCGCAGTTATCAGCCGGTGTCCCTGAGCCAGCTCAGGCTGCCGAGGCCGCAGGCGGGCCGGCGGGGGCGGCAGTCGCTCACGGAGTACCTCTTGCTGCCCACGGCCGCGTCCCGGACAAAGTTTTCGTTGTGCTTATTGACGGCGTAGTTGGTCAGGTGCATGCAGACGTCGTCCTGGGCAGAGCGGCCCTGAGTGCCAGTCGCGACAAGTGCCGCCAGCCCCTGGACAGCTGCACCCTCCCCTCCTGGGTGTGCTGGCCCCCCCGAAGGCAGCGTGCCTCTCCCCCAGAGGATTCCTGCCCAGGCACCAGTCACTCCCGCCAGCCAGGTGCCAGGTGACTCCCTGGCCCGGCCCTTGCTTGGCGTGGCCAATGCAAACCTCCGGGCCCGCAGTGCCTTACCAGGTTGCTGTGGCTTGGCTCCACGTAGGGCGTGGTGGCGAAGCGGGCCAGGCCCTCCTCGTACATGAAGATCCGAAGGGGGTCGCAGGACGTGATCAGGACGTAGATGCGCATGTCGAACTTGAAGCCGTCAATGAGGAAGGGCTAAGGGGGCCAGCGCCGGGGAGGGGAGGCCACGGCTGGCAGTCATGGCCGTGCCCACACGTCCCAGCGCTTCGGAGGGAAGCTCATTTCACCTCCACCATCGCTGTACCAAGTGGATGCTGCTACTATTCCTAGGTGGCACGTGGGGAGACTGAGGCACGCCTGGGCTAGGAAACCGGCCCGGATGCCCAAATAGAGGAGGCGGCCAGGCAGCGGCGGCCCCACGTTTACCCGGGTAACGACAACGGGGCTCAGAGCCTCAGGCCAGCAGCCTCCCATGCTGGGAGACTCCCTGGGAGTGGGGGGCTGGGCCCCACCTTGGAGATATACTGCTGGCAGACCATGTGCTCCCCTGGCTTGATCTCCCGGGGGTTTCGGGTGATGAAGATGCCACGTCCCTGGCAGCCACTGTCGGGCTTGCAGATGTAAGCGCGGGTCTTTCGCTGACGCCCGTAGGCCTGGAAGTCGCCGTAGCTGTGCGAGAGAGCTGGTCACGTGGGGCGGGCTGCGCAGGACCCCCCTTGGAGACGCTCCTGGGCCCAGCCGGAGCTGGGGGGGCGGGCCCTCACTCTGCGGGGAGGCACCAGGTGCGGGGGAAAATGTTGTACTCGGCGGGGTACAACTTCTGCATGCGGTTGAGGTTCCGTGCCAGCAGGTCCTTGCGGCAGATTTCCGTCATGCCAGGGAAGTGGTTGATTTTCTGCAACAGAGCCAGCTGGTCAGAGGCCCCTGAGCTCCAGCGGCCAGTTGGAGCTTGGCGTCCTGGGGGCAGGCAGAGGTGAGCGGGCAAGGCGGGGTCCCAGGGCAGCTGTCCCTGACCCTCAAGGGAGAAAACCCTCCTTGGCCTCTCCCCCAAACACATTCACACCAAGGTCAGGAAACGAGGGCCAGTGAGAGGGCAAGTTGGCCCCTGGGCCTCCCCCCACCTCTGAGCCCTCAGCCCACCGGCGCTGGTCCAGAGGCACGTGGTGCGGCAATGAGGAGCCTGCCCTACGCGGAAAGGGCAGCTAAGCGCAGGGCAGGCCGGGAGGGCAGCCCGGGAGGCCGGAGGGCATGGCGGGGCCAGGGTGGCCTGCTGCCCGCCCCGCTCTGCGGCTGTGCCAGCCTTCCTTTCCGTGCCAGGGCGTGAAGTGGGGATTCTGAGCCTCGTGTCCCGTGAAGGGGTGCCTGCCCGTGCGTGGTCTTCATGGCGCACCCTCCAGAACGCTGCTGCCACCCCACTGGCAGTGCTCCGGCCCGCACCTCCCGGGGCTCCTGGAGCCTCCCAGAACTGGCTTTCTGGGCACCCTTGAAGGACCCTCAACTCCGGCTGCCAGGGAGCAAGCCTGCGGACGCTTTTCAACACTTCTGTTCCTGGCAAAGGCCCAGTTAGAGGCAGGACAGCACCGCAGTGGTCAGTGGTGCCCTCGGAGAGCCCGCCGCCGGGCAGGCGGTGCAATGTGGGGTGCTAGGGGAGCTGCTTCCAGGCCAGGGTGTTGGCTGGCTGGCCCTGCTGTGTGCTCGGGGCTGCCTCCTGGTCTTGGCCGAGGTGGGTTCAGCTGCGCAGCGGGAGGCAGGCAGCTGGCACGAGGCCTCAGGCAGAGGGCAGTACTGAAACCTTCAGCGCAGCGCCAAGGCCTACTGGAGCAGCAGCCTGCCCTGCTCTGCAGCGCGGCAGCCCTGGCGCCCAGGCAGGGTGGCAGTTCTGGGCCCGCAGTCCCCGGAGCTGGTCAGCAGGTTTACCTGAAACCGCTTCATGTCCATGACTCGTTCCAGTGAGACAGAGCAGTCTGTCCAGTACACAGTCCACTCTTCATCCTCCCCCACCTCCTTCAGGCCGCACATCTGGGCCGCCCGGCGCACTGTGGAGAGGTCAGGGCGGCGCTGGGTGGGGCCAGCGGGCCTCGGTGGGGAGCAGGAGGGTCCGTGCCGGCTGCCGCGGCAGCCCTCCCTCCGCTCTGCGCTGCCTGCCGGGCCATGCTCAGGGCCGCAGGGCCCTTCTAGAGTCTGCCAGAGCCCTGGAGCCGGGCTCTGCTCCTGTCAGCCCTCCAGCCAAGGCACGGCGCTGGCCTGGGGCCCTCACGCTGGCACCTCACCCGGCAGGGCAGCCGGGGGCTTGTGGGAGAGGCAGAGATGGCTGACCAGCTGGTGTTTTCTTTTTAATTGCTGAGCCCCCTCAAAATCTTCCTTTAAAAAACTGTTTTGACCTCTCCTCTCTGGTAAAATGGCCGGGTGGGGGACAGTGGCGACTCACAGTCACTTTTTTCTTGCTAACCATGGAGGCCCCCACCCTACTGCCCAGGGGAAGCATGACGCTCTGCTCCCAGAGCTGACGGGGGCGCTGGCGAGCCCCAGCGGCTGAGTGCAGCTGGGGACCGGCCCGGAGTGGCCGCTCTGGAGTAACTGCAGCAGGTGGGCACCAGCCAGCTGGGCACTTACCACTCTCATACTTGCAGTTGGTCAGGTTGATGGCCAGGGGTCTGGAATAGAGGGACAGCAGAAATGAGGCCAGCAGTGGCCAGCAGAGTCGGGGCTCCCAGAGAAGGGACATCCAGAAGTGGCCCCCGCTCGGCTTCTCAGAAAGCCCTTCAGGCCAGGCCCAGCCCGCGCGGCCGAGTCACGTTCTTGTACCAAAAGCCGAGTGCTGCTCCTGACTGCCTGTCCTCTTGCCCGGGCTAAAGGAAGCCCTTGGACCCCCGTCTGCAGGAAGCCCGGCGCCGGGACCAGCACGCGCGGGCCCGAGGACCCGTTACCTGCGTTTCCTCCTTCTCTTTCTCCTCCCAGTCTCCAAGTCCTCTGAGTCAAGTGGGCCTACGCTTTTCTTTGGGGTTTTCTTGGCTACAACGGACAGGGGAACTCCATTCCCCGGGGCCTTGCTGTCAGGCTTTGAGGGCTCCTGCTGAGAAGGGTTAGCGGGGAGGGGAGCTTCCCCTTGAACACGCTCCTCCTCAGACTCCTCTTCCACATAGTCTTCCTCTGACTCGCTGGTCTTACAGGTGCTGGGCTCCATCCTCTCAGGGTCTGAGGGGAGAGGGAGGGCCGTGAAATATCTATGGTCAGGCTGCCCCCAGGCTGGGGGTGCTGTGGGAACCCACCCAAAGCACCTCCTTGTGCTTTAGGGGAATGTCGCTGCCCTTCAGAACAGTCCAGCAGTGGGGCTGCGGAGAGCCTAGGATCCGCCCACGCGCCCCAGCCGCCCCAGATCAGCCATAGGACGCAGCAGGGCAGTGCAGGAGCTGGGCAGCGCTGGCCGGGCTGGCCAGGGCGTTTTGTTCCTGAATGAGAAGGGACGCTGCTGGGGTTTGGGGGGTGGCTGTTCTCAAACCAGAGCTGAAGGCCAGAGTCTCCTTGCCCTGTCCAGTGACTCAGTTTCTCCACGTGTACACATGGGGACCAGCTAAGACCCCTTGGGTGCTGACGGCAGGGGGAGTGCCCCCGGTGGCCACTGCCCACCCGAGGTTCCGAGGACAGCGTAGGAGCCGGTGGGTCAGCCCCTGGCGACTGGGGCTGGACTCAGCTGGTCACTCATGTCCGCCCTTCGCCCAGCTCGCGCTTCTTCCCGGGCGCTGCTGGGCCTCAGGGACCGCCTCCTCCTCTCACAGGACTGGCTGTCTCCGCCGGTCGCGAGGGGGAGCCCGCTCCCCCCGGGTTCGCTCCTAGCGCCGAGATCCCGGCGGCGGCGGCCCCTCTTTAAGCAAGTCGATGGCCGCCGCCGCCGCCGTCGCCATGGACACGAGGGCGGCGCCCATCGGAGCAGCGTTCTGGGGGCGGGGCCTCCGGGAGCCACACCCCCTGGCGCCAGCGACCGACGCCGTCCTCGCGCGGCGGGAGGCCGGCCCGCGGCTACCTGGGAGTCGTAGTCCGTCCCGCTGGCCGGGCCGCGAGAGGCCGTCCGCGGGCACCGCCGCTGTGAGCCTCCCGGGCTCGCCCCGCTGTGCTGAGGCGGGCAAGGCCCACGAGGGGCTCTCAGCCTCTGCCGGCCTCAGCCCGACGTGTCGCTGGGAGTATCCCAGGTGGCTGAAACGGAAGGACCGAAGGGCGCCCTCCTTCACAGAGGCCAGGGCACTCCCCGCGTCCTTCCTCAGTCTTCTGCGCCGAACACGCTCAGTCATCCACTCCTTGTCGTGCCTGGAGGCCCTTGTCGCCAGGATGCTCACTTTTCGTGTTCTTTACGCACTTAGTGCCGGCGATGTGCGCATTTTACTGTGTAAGCACTCATACTGCTTAGTAGGCTCTGAGTGAAGTGGCATGTCAGATATGAAACGCAGTGACCGATGGCAAGTAGGCCAGACAGCACCGGGGACTTCTCCAAGCCCAAACTAGTGGACATGAGCCTGGGCAGAGGATCCCAGAAAAGGCTGAGAACGGCAACTGGGCACCTGCACAGCCATTTCCGCACTAATCTGGGCACCGAGAGTCTGCCCCTCAGCCAGGCGTCAGCAGGAACGCCTGCCCCAGTGCCAGAAGTGGCCGCAGGGCGCGGGCCCAGGCCAGCACTGTGCTCAGCCTAGCCTCCGAGGCCGGGGGCTGAAGCCCCATTAGGGGCCAGCACCATCGCCTGCTTGGACCTGGTTGGTCAACAACGGACTGCTGGAGGATGTCAGGCTTCTGGACACATGAAGGTGTCGTTCACAGCAGCCTGCTCTGTGCTGACTGGCTCATGCCGGTGAGCAGGAGGCCTGGGGTTTACTGTCACAGGTCGTCACCCATTTGTGTTTGATGACATGCAAATCGGCAGATGTCAAAGTTGTGGGAAGAACTTAACTCTGCTCACATCTGGGCACTGTTCTCAGGCCTGCACTGTCCCATCGCCTGCTGGAATTGCCAGCGTTCAGCAACTACGGAGCAGACACCCCAATTCTGTTATCCTCTCTGACCCACTCACGCATGCATTCACTGCAGCATGAGCACTCTTACTAAGTGCAAGGCTGTTACTACCCCATTTAAGACCCTTCAAGGCCACTGATGACAGCAAGTCTGAACCCACAGTATAGGACGCCCTCCCTCAGAACGCCAGCCGAGAGGTGGAGGGGCCTGGGCTGGGCCGGCCCGTCTCACTCCTAGGACAGTCGCCTGAGAGTCTAAATTCCCTTCAGAAGACAGCAGAGCGTATCTCTGGCTGAGAAGTACCCCCTCCAAGAAAAGTGATTTTTTTCCACGAAAAACTTACTTGGTCAGAGAAGATTTCCTCTGACAACCAGTCCTAGTTTGGAAAAGCCTGACGTCTGGCCTGTCCACTTGGACAGTCTACTTGGCCGCACCACCACTCGGCCCAGTGTGCCCCAGATACTTCTGAGACGTTTAATGTTAAAGGCAGAGACAGACGATGAACAGCATTTCTCATGGAATGGGTCGTGCTTCAACCCGAGACTTGACACCCTTGGGTCATAAACTCGACTGACCGTCTCCACAAAAGCTCTACTGGCCTGGGCAGTCAGCTCTGCAGGGCCTGAGCAGTCCCCGGGAGAACAGGAGTCAGGGAGCTGCCACCTGGAGGAACTCGGGGTGCGGCCCAGGCAGCTGAAGGCCAGAGGCCCGTTGGCCTCACCTTGCTAAGGCCTAATGCAGGGGACGGCCCGCGGCACGGGCTCCTTAGTGGTGGGCTTGTCATCCTGGGCTTGTCCCAAGAGGGGAAGACACGTCCACGAGGGCCTGCCCATCGGGTCTATTGCCCGGTTTCACCTCTTCATTGTCCCGTAGGCCGGGGCGGCGCGAAGGTTGGCCCCGTACCCCGTGACCATCACGACAGAGATCCAGGGAGTCAGGCCCTTCCCATGGGCTACGGCCCCTCCTGGGCCAAGGCCACCAGAGCTGCACGCACTTCTTCTGCCTGGGCTGGGGGCAGCAGACAGCCCTGGATGAGGGTCAGGGCAGCCGCCTCAGTCAGGTTGCTGAAATGCTCAGAGGTTTTGACAGGGAGGTGCCCAGCCAGCTCGCAGAGGGCAACATTGAAGGCCTCCCCTTCCTTTATCCCGAAGCTGGACTTCCGCGCCCAGAGGATTACCCGGACCCCTGTGAGCTCAGAGGAAGGGGATGTCTTTCCAGGTGGGGCGCCCCGCGTGACAAACAAGTTATGTGCGATCTCGTGGTCAGTCAGGTAGTCAGTGGCCCGACACACTCTGCTAACTAAGGCTTCCAGGTCCGAGCCCAGCTCGCTGAGGTAAAAGAGGAAGCCGGGGGCTGGGAGGTCCTGGAGCAGGTGCAAACGGCCCCCTGGGTCCAGGGGTTCGCTCGGTGCACCCTCCACGGGCAGTCTGTGGGCCAGGTAATAGCCGTGCAGGTGGAGGTGGTTCACCGAGGCCAGGCCCCCCAGGCTGTTGAACCCGACTCGGAAGCCGGGGTGTGAGCTCAGCAGCACCGCCTCAAGCCCGGCCCGCAGCGCACCTGGCCGCAGGCGCTGGGGGAGCCCCTGGGTGGGCTCGGGCACCAGCAGCACGTGGCCCCACTCCAGGGGGCTGACGTTGATCATCACGAGGACGTCCTCTTGCTGGGCGCCCTCGGGCTGGCGGCGCAAACAGAAGAGGACCTCTCCTGGCCGGATCTTGTTGAAGTTGAACTGTCCCGGGTCAAATGCCTGCCTCACGCTCTGGATGTTCTGGGGGCACCTCCTCTGCACACCCCGCTCCACGTTCAGCTGAGCCACGAGCCCCACCACACCCGGGAGAGTTCGGGTCTGCAGGTTCCCCAGGCGGTAGCGAAACAAGCCCAGCTCCATCCGCTGCCTCCAGGCCGAGCACAGTGCAGAGTCAAAGCGAGATGGGGACGGAGGGCCCAGGGGGCCGGGGGTGGGCCCCGGCCACTGTACCCCCGCGGGCGCGAGATCCTTCTGCTCATAGACGAAATCCGGAACGCCCCGCCTCTCCCAGCCCTTGGGGTCTGAAGGTAGCAAGTAGTGAGCTTCGGGGGAGTGCTGTGCCGTGGCCATGGGCTGACCAAAAGGCCCAGAAGGTGGCTCCCGCGGCCCCGCCCCACTGCCGTGCATAGCGTGGCTGTTTCCAAATGGCCTTTACTTGCTGTTCTGGTGGCAAAAGCAAAAGGTAGCTCTGATGAATAGTTTGGATACACAGACATCGCCCATCACTCCACTGTAGCGTGCGTTCCTGCTGACCTAAAAAGAAATACTCTTTTTTTCCTTTCTAAAAATTCTATACCTAACTTTTTTAGGAGTTAAAAATAAAGATTAAAATGCAACCTTTATTCCAATGCGTGGAGGGGAGAATCACAACTCCTACTCAGCCTCATTTCCATTTATAAACGGATCCTGCTTCTTTTTTAAATAATAGTTAATTTTTGCGTAGTTTGGATCCCGCTTTGTTTTTAAAGCCTTGAGCCCACGCAGCGGAGCCCTGGCCTCGCGCTTTCCGTGAGCCTGCAGGTGCAGGTCTCTGCGGACACGCCTGTGGCTTCTCGACGCCACTGGGCCGGGCGCCCCTGCGGGCCTGCACTCGGCAGACTCCCGGGTCCCGTGCACAGAGCGGCAGGCTTCAGGCTGACAGCTCCTAACAGGAACAGCCTCTCTGCTGGTTGGTGGGCACTCCCGCAGCCAGGGCAGCGCCCCACTTGAGGCTGGTCCAGGGTGCAGAGCGCCCAGCGCCCATCTTGGCAGGAAACCAGGGCCTGCTGTCACCGTCACTGGGTTCCCAGAGGCCCCCAGGGCTGCGTGCGTGGGGGGCTGCCAGGGGGCTTACCCAAGCGGCTTCCCTCAGCTCTGCTGGACCAGAAGCTTCACATTCATAAACAGGAAGAAACATCAGAAGTCAAAAACCAGGCCAAGTTTAGTAAGCCGTTGCCGTTTCCTAGAGGAACAGGTGGAGAGGACGCAGGTGAGCGAGCGTCGCGCTAAAAGTGCGGCCAGGAGTGGTAACGAGGGTGGATTATGTGATCTGTTGTTTTCAACAAAAAAAGGCTGATATGGTCAGTGCCATATACTCTGCCCTAACTGAACACATTTCAAAGCGTCTCAAAACAGATTTCTGAGAAGGGCGATGGCCAGCTGTGTGCAGAGCCGGCGTGAGACGACCCGCACTGGCTCATTCCTGCAGGGTTGCCCACCTGCGCCCATGCCCTGTGCTCGGGCGTGTGCCCCTGAGCCGCGGGACGCCAGTATTTATGAAGTAACCACTGGGTACAAGATCCGAGCAGCAACTAAGGGGACCCCCACTTGCGGCACCCGCAGAAGAGAAGCCGCACAGCAGGCCAGATGGCCACGCGAGAGCCCTGTGGAGAAAGACCAGGTGACCCGGTGGAAGCTGGCCGGGAGGCGGGCGGTCATGGCTCTCTGGGTGACCGCTCGGCCAGGGCAGTTAGGAGGGTGCCTCAGCGAAGAGCTGCGGACGCCAGCCCGAAGCCCCGTCGGCTGCCACCGCAAGCACGATCAGGGGATCGGAGGCTGCTCAGAGCCAAGTGTGGGCAGCCGGGAGGCCGGGTCACCCTGTGCCCAGGCCGCCACCATTCACACTGGAGACAGCCTCCCAGGGCTGGCCGGCGCACCCTGCCTGCAGTGTAGATGGGAGACACACGCATGCTGGCTGCGCCCATGCTCGCCAGCTGAAGACCGGCCCTGCCGCGGACAGAGGAACCCACAGGCACAGCAGACCGCCAGGCAGGAAGGCCCGCGCCTGTCACCCCACTGCTGTCCTGTTCCCACCGCTCCCGGCCCCGGGGTCACCGGTCCAGGCCCAGCGGCTCACAGCTGAAGCGCTCTCAGTCTCCGACTAGCACCTGCTCAGGCTCCGGTCCTGGCCAGACCCTCCACAGGCGCCAGACAGGCCCTGCGATGAAGGTGCACCTGCCCCTCCCGGTTATGGTCTGAGGTCAGCTACCGCCCAGGTGAATGTAAGCCCTGAGGCCTGCGGTAAGAAGCGCTGCAGGGTAAGCGAGTCCTCGCCAGCCAGGGAGCGAACGGCTTCCTGAGGCAAGGTGGGGAGGCCCTGGGGCCCCACACGGCCGACACCCAGACACGCAGGCCCAGGCCAGGCGCGGGGCTTAGCCACCTGGTGGATGTCAGACAGGCGACACCCTCGGACTGGGGCTGTCCCCAAACCCGCAGGCAGACTGCCGCGGACTCCCTCTTCACCTGCCCAGCGCACCTCCGGCGGGCTCCAACAGGAAGCAGCCCCGCCAGCGCGCCGCGCCGGCCCCGGGAAGCGCTGCGCCG